CTTCCCCAGGCTCCCGCAAAATGACTATATTTTGGTAATGCGATCGATGAAGCGACAATCAGAGTTTCTCTAGTCGGTTCCATTGTTGGAAAGCATTTTGACGTTTGCATAAATTCTTTATCTAAGGCCCTAATTGACCTCTTCCATCCTTTACATAGCGATCTGTCATAAACTTTGTCTTCCTTACACACTATCAAAATTTAGGGTATTATTCTCCCCCACCTCATCGTATCGTAACACTCTTGTCACCTTTTCTTATCAATCAAAAAAATCAAAATTACTTTACACATGCGGCCCGTTGGGTAGTATTTGTACCCCTTTGTCCATTTACTTTTTCAGTTTGTAGTCCCACCATTCAGTGCATCCGCAGTGATAGTATAAATGCTGAGAATTCACCCATTTTGTGTAAAAACTATTTTGACTTTGATACGTGCTAATCTTTTTGATCTGGGTCTGTTGCACTATTTGTGTTAGAAGCTTATGGCCAGCTTGTCTTTGGAGAAACCGATCGCTTACCTCAATACCATAAGCCTTAGCGCTAGAGCGACTTCTCTCCCCTCCTCAAACAACCTCTCGCTTGAGCATTCATCCCGCCTGGTACGGCCTTGTTCATCTTCTTATTTGTATAGACGGAAGATTAGAATTGCATCCGGACTGCTGTTGATAGGAGCACGCGCCTAGACGGTAAGAATACTGCATTCTCTGACCCTGTCCACTAGCCCCGATGAAGTTCGCAAGTCCAACCGGCCGTTCAAAACTTTTGGTAACGGAAAATTCAGTGTCTCTGTTGTGTGCGTCCATGACACCTCACAGCTCTTCTCATCGTCCACTTCGGACATACCACTGTATGTTTCGCTCCGACGGGTACCGGTGTGGTTCGGCCTTCTGGCTTGTGATGCACCTATCATCAAATCCAATCTACTTAAGCGTTGCGTAGTGGCAAACTGACATAATTACGTTCCAGTAGCCTGTTATATTGACCCTTTTTCTCGAAGACATCTTATCAATTCTCCTTCGTCCGAACGGTAGACGCGAATTCGGTCGCTCCACAAGCCGCTTAAACACCGAAGCTAGTGCTCGCAACATATAATAACGCAGTTGCTCAAGCAAGCGTTATTGGCTGCTGTGAGGCAGCCCAAGCCTTATTCAGTATCTTCTGCTCCCCAAGCGTTTTGTTTTCTTATTTCAGAACTAGTATGCGCTTCAGTCTTGTGCGTCTGCTGCTCAGTTTGTCGAGTTCCTCCAGCGAAGATGTAAATAGGTAGAGCCCACTACCGAATGGCTTACCGGTCACTGATAATTGGAACCGGGTTGACAGGATGAAGTAACTATTCTTTTTTTGAAGCTGTACTCACTTTTACGGGGGCGCTTTTTAATAACAAGTGCTTATATCTCCGAGCCATACACCAAAGATTCGTGAGGTACACTTTCCTACTGTCGGGTGCCTAATGCTCACTGTGTCCGACCACGCTTTGTGGGACATATGATGTGGAGTCGTTTCCTTTTGGTGCAGTTTGTTCCGAGTTGTTGCTCTTCCTCCACCTAGGGGTCATCTTTGACTTATTTTCGTCCCTGCTTTTAGGTGTCTGGGGGTTCTATTCTTCAGGTATCATAGAACGAAACAGCACATCAGCGGACTACAGCACAATCATGTTCTAACCACGTTTTCCAGAAATGACGACAGCCCAAGATCGAACCGTACCATCCGAAACTTTTGGCGACGTGGGCTGTTTGAGTCCATCGCTTACCAGCTGCTGGGAGGCTTCAACTAGTATGGCGGCGCCCGCTGTGTTTGCAGACGATCCTGTTATGCAGTAGTCGGTATTACGCTCACAGCCGCATCATACGCTCGTCATTGCCTTTCAGAGTTAGGTCCAAATTTGCCATTAACCGAGCTCCTGAGGTACGTGAACGCATTGATATCCCCTTGCAACTGTAACAGTATCTGAACTGATAATAATGCGAACCAGTTTGTTAAGTCGGTTAGAAAGCGTCCTTGGCGGCTTCAGGGCTGCAGTCATTGGGAGCATAAGTGTTGATGGATCGGTACCGGAGCGAAGGTACCCGTACTTTGTTCCGAAATCAAACACTGCCTTGAACCGCCTTAGCAGTCCAGCTTCCAATGACCACCGGTTGGCGATGAAGGCTGCTATTTTACCTTATTTCACACCACAAAACAATTTCTCGTGTGCATTTGTGACGGTTTTCGCGTAAAGTCCACCCTTGTATATGCATGATGGCTCTCGATAAATTATTAGCAACTTACCTGTATTCCTGATGCAGCCTTACTACCCTCAAATCAGGAACCCAACTATGTTGGCTGCAACATGTGCCCTTCTTTCCTTTCAGCATGCTAACGGACTTCCTGTGGTCTTTGCTAGGTGATTCTTCTATTCTGTGGAAGCAATATTCAGTTTTATCTTCCCATACCTCAGCCCATTGGGTTTCCTTTTTACAATCCTCTACACACTTCTTTGCAGGCTCAACAAAAATTTTCTGCACTTTATCTGACCACTTGCTCAAACGAGACTCTCCGGCAGCAGGCTCTTTAGTGTTCATTTTCCGGTTTGAAATCTCCGTAGCTGATTTACTTTTATCAATACACTATTTCAATTCTAATCACGGTTACTGTTGAAGTGAATATCTGTCGTTTCCATCATTGACACGTTTTCTGGATTTGAGATGTCTCATCGCACACCACCATTTGTTTCTCCCTTGTTTCTGTTTTGGCAGTGAACAACATCAAAGTTGTCCGTTCTGTTTTATTCTTTGGGAACAGATGCGGCTCCCCAGTATTGAGTCCCAGCGTTGTGTGACCTCAGTAATGGTGTACTTTCCATAAGCATGCCTGTTCAATGAACTGTGATTTACATTCACTTTATTCTGTACCTTTTCACCATGCTGCTATCTTAATTGTCATTTATCTGAAATTAGTCCTTGTGTTGTCTATTGGTTGCGGTAATCGCGGACTCCAGAAGACAAGCACTGGGAGCTGCTAGATCGTCAAACCGAGCGATTCTCACCCACCACAAGGGTTTACGTTTATTTCAGGTCATTTGTATGCTTTTGGTGTCTATCGTGCTTAGCGGGCTGCCCCAACGCGCGAATCGCTTCAGTGGGAAGAACAGACTGAGACGCGTATCGGTCACGATTGCATCGACCCAATTTTCACACTCGGCTGGATCTTCGAGCTCTGCCATGTGCATCAAAAGCCAACGAGTGTTACTTTCCTGTATATCCGTGCTGTCTTGGATTCTGTCGGCAAAACTGCATTTTCGCACTGATTGTTGATGAACGGCGTCTTCTGGAAGCTGCTGTGTATAGTTTGACTTTGGGTATAGTTAGGGCTTATGGCAAGTTTTCGCCTTCCTTTATTATTATTACTATTATTATTATTATTATCATGCGGTTCAACAATGAAGCCCTATCTCCCCATTCCTCTTTAACTTTGCCATTGAGGATGTGCTCAAAATTGCTTCGGAAGATTCATTGAACGCTGGCCTTGAGCTCCTTCCAGATAGTCGAGTAGCTGATTTACACTATGCTGATGATGTCGTCTTGATGGGTGACGGTCTACAGGCCGTATAACTTGCGCTAAATTACTTGGCAATTGAAGCGTCAAATTATAGCCTGCGCTTCTCCTCATCCAAGTGCATAGCCCTTTTTCAAAACTGACAGATGCCTGTACTTGCCCTCACTTTTGTTGGTGTGACACAGGATGTTGTGGAGAGTTTTGTCTGCATGGAAAGTTGCATCACGGCTGGTTGAGCTGTTGGAAAAGAGATTTCGACGCGCATCTCAAAACTTCGTTTCACTTTCTCTAAGCTGAGGCACTAGTGGCGCCGTCATGACTTTCGTCTCTCCATCAAAGGGCGGGTTTATTGTGCAACTGTCCGCGCTGGATTGTTCCACGGTTGCGAGACCTGGCCTGTTCGTACCTTTGACTTGCGCTGACTCTGTCTTCGAGCACTGTTGCTTGCGGTTGGTTGTCTGTCTATGATGACTGCACCACTTAGTCGATTTAAACTTAGGCAGCGTGGTAGTCACCCACTCGAGGAACTCGTCTCACCGCGTCAGCCGATGTGGTTTTGACACGCATTGCTTATGCCCGTTCAGCATCTTCCACGTCGTCGGTGATCATGGTTGCAATATAGTGCTGGAAGCGGCTCAGTAGCCAGTCTACAGCTTGGAGAAGCGGCATGAAGAAGCTGACAAAAAACTTGCCCCCGGTCATTTGTTCTGGATTCCCTGGTTGGGGTCCCAGAAATGCGGAGTGTATCTGGTTGGCGACGTTGGAACTCATGTCTTCAGTCGTACGCTAGTGGCGAACTTGTATTTCTGCGTGTTGCGATGATTTCCCTTCTAATAACACAGGCTATCAACAAACAACTCGCAAAAATGTACCAAAATGTTACCCTTTTTCTTTTTACATTTTCTTTTTCTATTTTGTCATTATTCCGGTGGCACAATATCTGTATCCCAGATTGTGTTCAGTAAACAATATGTATAGTATGTATTCCCACCCGATTACCAATCTTGTAACTCGCTGCGTTTCGCTACACCAGACATCGTTGGTTCCATTATCACTAAAAACGAATCGTCCGGCAGGTAGTTTTTCGCTTCGGCCAATTTTCATAGACCGGAGAACGTCTGCAAAATTAGTTGACTGCGACACGACGATTTACCGACCTTTTGAACGTGTTCCTTTCCCCACACTCATATAAATCGTTATCCCGCGTTAGTGCTTAATGTGGGGTCGGGATGACAGAGCTATCTAACTTGCATTCATCTCTGCACCTCGTGTCCAGTTTCGAAGGGGATGCGTTTGTTCTTCGGATATGGGCTTTACTCATTCTCCGGTTTTCCCCATTACTTCTCATTTTTTGTAGGTTGGGAATTATTGCTAGGCATCTTAATCTACCGATTCTCTCCTTTCACTCACTTCACTGTGAAACAAATGGCCTTTTGTCTACATTTTCCCCTTTTGTTTCTCGTGTCAGGTCCCAACATTCCCTGACCTCGATCCCGCTGATCCTGGGTCAAAGCGTGCGTTACGCCACTTCTCTCAGCAATCTGCGCCTTCAGGCATAATGCGTAATAATCAGACCAAAGGTGGACGCGTCAGCAAGCACCGAGCCACATCGGAATCCGCTTTGCCCTCAAGCGGGGAGACTAATGGTGTGGTGAAGGACTCAACGCCCATACATCTCGTCGTCAGACGGGCCATCTCCCTGGGTTACTATTCTCCACAACCACACCCGTGCGATAAGTCCTCGACCACATGCGCGACTTTGCAGTCACAGATTGTGAAGCGGTTGAAAGGTGAGCAACGATTGATCTGATTGGTTACATTCTCCACCTATGTCCCCACTGCTCAGACGCAAGCGATGAGAGAATGCGTGAAATCGGCTCATACAGCTGGAGTGTTACTGTGATTTATACACTGACGACAGAATGCATTTCGTCCCCAGTGAAGTCTTATTCAGCCAAACAATCTGGTTGTTTGACTTAATCGATCAACTAGTCACCATTTCCAACAGTCGGTATTAGTGCGCATTCATCTAGCCGCTGGGCGAACAAGCTTCGAAACTGCTCCATTAAGATTGTTTTGAAGTTCGGGGGCCAATTCCTCATGATGACTCTGGCCCCACGGTTCACTTTACTGAGCTGCCAACTAAAAAGGCAGCGACCGAATTACGAACTAGCAATTGTCACGGGACGTGAATCGAAGTTGTCATTATTAAAACGTCACTCGCGGCCTCCGATTTCGGATTTGAATGTCACTGTGGCCTGCCACAGGGCGCTTGCGCCTACAGAGGGACCATGGGTGGCCTGCGTTGCACCACCCCCAGCTCCATTCACACACCCCATATCCAGTGTAAACCCGAAAGAATAAGACCGGGAGGCATGCGGATGGGAGCCACGTTTAATCAACGGAGCCGGCCCACACTCTTTCACAGGCAAACGCAAGCACGCTGTATTTGGGAATCAATTGCACACAAGACGGTAGCTGGACCATAGTCCGCTTCACACTGACTACGTGGAACCGCTTCGAACCTAGCACGACCACAAGGACCGTGCATCCCGTCCTCTCCAGCAACGACCCACTGTCTCCTGGAGCCCGTATGGATGAGTTAGTGGGTAATGGACAGGTAGGCACCTTGTCAACATGCACATCAAGCGCAGCCATATTGGGCATATCAAGCAACAGCGAATCGTAGACTGTTGCGTGACTCTTCACTAAATGAGCATAGCAAATAAATCCATTATGAACCAATCCGCGATAGGTTCAAGACGTCAGCAAATATATTTTAAGGGAATACCACAAGCGCGAAAATGTTATCGAAATTAACTAAAGTAGTTAATAGAAGATAGCTCAGGTAGACATTAATATGAGATAAAATAAAGCTTTAGGACAATACAACAAACCCACCACCTGAAATAAAGAGACTCAGCGTGCAAGCACGCAGTTAGTAAATCGAATACAGCATACTTACAAACGCTGCGCCGGTTCTGCCTACGCCCTCAGCAGGCTCGTCGTCGTTTCGGTGTTGGCCCACAGTGGCCTCGCTCATGGCTCACTAGGCCTGCTTGTCTACGACACTCGCGACCGCAGGTGCTACAACACCATGCGCCCGCTGTCGATGGAGTACAATCCATCGGCGCCGGTCGTTTCCGCAATTGCCGCCTCTTCTCTGCATGTATGAGGTCCTTCTCCTGCACTTCGGCAACTGCCTTCGTGATCAGATCGCGCCATGCACGCCGACCAACCGCCTTCAATTTCCATGACCTGCAATCAGGCATAGAATCTGAGAGACTCACTTTGATCATGTCCTGGTAACGAAGCTTCGATTTTCCCACATGCCGTCTCCCCATACTCAGTTGCCGATATAATAGCTGTTTCGGTATGCGCGTCGAATCCATACGGCTCACATGACCGAGCCACCTCAGGTGTCTCAGCAAAAGTATGCAGTCCACTGCGTACATTCCACCTCGGTGCAACCCTTCCGTGTCCGCAACTCTGTCTCGCCAACCGATGCGCAGAATCCGTCGCAAACACTGTTGTTGGAACCACTCGAGATATGCGCCTCCCGCCGGTACATCGTCCACGTTTCACTGCCGTATAGAAGAAAGGACAGCACCATGGATTTGTACACCATCAGCTTCGTGCCAACGGTAAGTTGACCGTTGTTCCACACTCGGTACTCTAGCTTCCCGAATGGCGCCGCTGCCTTCGAGACGCGGATACGAAGCTCACTGTAATGCTGCTGGTCAGTCGACCTCACACACCCAAGGTAGCAGAATCGGGAATTGGTTTCCAGCGCTTCGTCCTCAATGCTGATTCGCGGCACCTCCGATGATGTCTGATAGAAACAGACAGTTTTACTTGTGTTGATGGTAAGCCCGAATTTGACAGCTGATGAAGCCAGAGCACTAATCATGCGCTACACCTCATTCCCGCTGTGGGCAAACAGTCGTCCGCAAACAGCAACATACGGATAGCTGTCTCACAGAGCAGAGTCCTCGCACCGAAACGACGGATGTTCAGCAACCCACCATCAATACGGTGCTCCACACGATCACCGTAAGCACAAATGCAATCAAAAGCACAATACATCATGGCATGAAGATATCTATTAAACAGGGCAGGAGCTAAGACACAGCCTTGCTTCACACTAGAGATAACCGCAAAGTTATCCGAGGTCTCCCCACTCCGCTGCGCCTTCACCTACATACCACTTTGCAAACATTCAATTAAACTTATACTTGCAACCAAACTTACCCAACACCACCCACAATTCCTCGCGGTTCACCATGTCAAATTAAATCAAACAGCGATTATAAAGGTTGGTGTTGTCCTCTGCACTTCTCCTGCAACTGACGAGCCACAAACATCATATCTATAGTTCTGCGACTCGAACGGAATCCACACTGCTCCTCCGCCACGTTAGGTCCCACAATCTGACTGACTAGCCGGTGGAGCTGGATTCAGGCAATCACCTTGCCAACACAACTCAGCAAGTTGATGCCACGCTAATTCGTGCAACATTGCTTGCTTCCTTTGCCTTTGTACTTTGGTAGCACAAGGGCATCCTACAACATAGGAGGCACCTCCTCCACAATCCATGCGCATTGCACTAAATGGTGCAGCGCAGTCACCAACGCGGGTCCACCGTGTTTCAATACTTCAGGCGGGATCCTGTCGGCCCCAGCACACTTGCCGTTTCGCAGCTGAGCAAGTGCTCTCTGCGTCTCACCCAGTGTCGACGTGTCCACCAGGCTTGCCTTCACATCGTACTGCTTGAGGTCGTTCAATGTAGGCCAGTCGATCTCTGAACGGTTGTTTAAGAGACAGTCAAAGTGTTTTTGCCAAATCTGCATTATGTCTGCCATCTGTGTGCAGCCAACGCCTGAGCTACCATCGATCAACGTCCTCAGCGACTCCAACCTCGGTCCATACACCGCCTTCAAGGAGTCAAACAATTCCTTATGTTTGCGGCGTTCGACGTAGCATTCCATCTCCTACACCTTCTTCGTCCACCATACATCTTTAATGCGACGGAGCTCTCGGGTCAGTCGCCGTCGAAGTTTGCTAAACTGACTCTTTTTCCCCAAGTCACTGAAGTCTGCCACTTATGAAACAAATGCCGCATTCTTCTCAGACATCAATGCGCCAATCGTCGTATTGTTCTCATCAGAGCAATCCACCGCTTGCAGTTTGTGTGTCCTATATATATATATATATATATATATATATATATATATATATATACATATATTTATATTTATATATATATATATATATATATATATATATATATATTTATATACCATGCTGAGGCTGATATAGCATTCAAGATGCTTCTTCACCGCACTTGGGCTAAATCATCTTACACTTAAACTAGGTCTTTTTAATGTGGATAAAATCCATTCCAATATTTTTGGTTGGTTCTGCGTACTTGATGATCTTCTCCTAACTTGCACACGTCGCTCATGCTAATTGTGGTAACCTTGCGTAACCTTAGCACTTTCGGACATTTTGTACTTATCACGGATTCGCTTATAGCCAATTTACTCCATATGTTAATTTAGCGAGTATTTATGTCATCATATAGGTTTACTTTATTCGCTATCTTTTATTTGATATCGGCATTTCGAATGATTGCCTGTTGTTTGACATCCCAGGTGTGGCTGCGCTTGATGTGCATGTTGACAAGGTGCCTACCTGTCCATTACCCACTAACTCATCCATACGGGCTCCAGGAGACAGTGGGTCGTTGCTGGAGAGGACGGGATGCACGGTCCTTGTGGTCGTGCTAGGTTCGAAGCGGTTCCACGTAGTCAGTGTGAAGCGGACTATGGTCCAGCTACCGTCTTGTGTGCAGTTGATTCCCAAATACAGCGTGCTTGTGTTTGCCTGTGAAAGAGTGTGGGCCGGCTCCGTTGATTAAACGTGGCTCCCATCCGCATGCCTCCCGGTCGTATTCCTTAGGGTTTACACTGGATATGGGGTGTGTGAATGGAGCTGGGGGTGGTGCAACGCAGGCCACCCATGGTCCCTCTGTTCGCGCAGGCGTCCTGTGGCTGACCACAGTGACATTCAAATTCGAAACCGGATGCAGCTAACCTTGTATATATATATATATATATATATATATATATATATATATATATATATATATATATATTGAACTCTTGACCAACGGTAAAAATTGGTCGAGTACCACAACATATTGACACGGATAAAACAGTAATAATGAAAGGATATGGGTTAAAATTGTTGTACTGCAGTAATGTGGTTATCCTCTCATAACATGTTCGCCATTGCTCACAATGTCTTGTCAAATCTGTTAGCGTTTCGCACCATATGTGCTCGTGACCCTTGCGCCCCTAACCAGGCAGTCGAGAGGGACCGGCGGCGGTCAAATGTGAGATCAACGCCTTCATAACTTTGGCGCATTCACTAGCCAGCTTGTCTTTGCTTCCAGCCGACTTCTGTGCGCGCAGTGTGCATGGTGAGGCATATTCTCAGTAGGCATGTGAAGCACGTTCCCAAGCCACCGAAGTCTTTTCAATGAAATTATGCGGCTCTGCTGCCGGCAATGTGTCTGATCTGAAAATCATTAGGCTTACATCCTTGTTACTAATAGCACTGGCTCATCAGTCAAGGGTCAACGAACTACTCAGTTTACCTACTACGTACTGAAGAAATCATCTTGATTGGTGACGAAACGTCTACCACAAAATTCTTCAGCTGGGAGAACAGATAAAAACCTGAACTGATAACTAGCTAACACATTCCGATTAATGGTAATACCCAT